TTGACCAAAACAGATCACAGATTGGAATATTTTCCCTGAAGAGTGTGTGAGTAAGATTTTACATGTATTTAAGCAATGCCAGTATTCCAGCAATATCACACCAGGGTACACCATAAATTGGCTACTTACACTATACCCATGAGGGGAATCAAACCCAGGCCTTCAGTGTGATAAGCTGGTGCCTTAACCACAAGGCTACCCCACCCCCTCCTACATGAAGAAAGAACTCAAGTGTGTTAACCCGTGAAGGTCCGACTGACTGACTGACTGAGTTTGGTTTTACTCCGCTTTTAGCAATATTCCAGCAACATCACGGCTGGGGACACCAGAAATGGGCTTCACACATTGTACCCATGTGGGGATTTGAACCCGGGTCTTCGGCGTGACGAGCCAACGCTTTAACCACTAGGCTACCCACGCCCTCGTGAAGGCCCGAGTTACAAGCGACTAACGGGATTGGGTGTTCAGGCTAGCTGATTCAGTTGACACATGTCATCGGTTCCCAATTGCGTAGATTGATGCTCATGCTGTTGATCACTGGATTGTCTGGTCCAGACTCGATTATTTACAGACTGCCGCCATATAGCTGGAATATTGCTGAGTGCGGCATAAAACTAAACTCACTCACTCACTCAAGAGTATCTCTCTCAAGGTTGAATATGAAGACTGATGCCAATCTGATCTCTCTTTGTACAGAAAATACTTCTAACAATTGTTGACATATTTAAATAGCATCCAAATTAGGCTAATGACAAACTGAAAACTTATCTTCTTGTTTTCTAATTTTAGAAAATTAGCTTCAAAATCACTCTTCTTTATATTATTTATACTAGCCACATAAAGAAACTGTGCACACAGAAAATTCCTTCAGAATTGGAATACAACACAGAAAAGACGACATGATGTAGACACTTTATAAGCTGAAGTATCGGGCCTCAACAACATGTTAAAAGAACATGAACAATATCCATAACGATGACGTCAGAAGTTCAAAAATTGAGTCGGGGGTCACACGTCAAAGTCACAAAGTCAATAACGGGTATGACCATCATGCCAGAACGTGGGTGGTCGGCGACGTCATTACTGTTTCCCTAACGACTGACCAATGCAGATATCGTGTTACGATGGCATTGGAAATGTGCTGCCACCTGTTGTTGGCTCATGCCTGCTCGAACCATTCCAATGGCTTCATGATGTTGAGCACATGTTAATCTTGGCATGATGTGCATGTGACTTCTCATGTGAATTTGTGAACGTTTGAATGACCAAAGATCAAGCTTTCGACAGTGCCAGCAATTTCTGAATTTCACATGTTGTGTGCAGCTGCACAGGCTGCAGGTGCAGTAACACATTGCAAGTCCATAGGCCACCATCAATGACGTCACGTCGCCTGGCACCTGCATGAGCGTTTGATTGTCTCCAATACTTGCTATGTACACACCTTTATTTATGCATAAAGCAAGCTGTCTGCCTATCTTTATATTTTCTGTGTGCACAGTTTTTTTATGTGGCCAGTATACATTTATTCATATATTCATAATTTTGCTGAAAATGTGCTCAACTTGTCTGCTGCCAGATTCAGTCATGACTGGAATTCAAAGCTGGAATGTAAACAGCCTGGAACAAGACTTACTGCGCAAGAAGATATTTTGAATTTAGAATGTAATTATATTCTAGTGATAAGGTTTTAGTTAGTTAATCATTATTGAAAGTAGAACGTAATGCTACTTGGAAATCATGTAGAACGTAAAATCTACGAATAACCTACACAAGGCTTTCAGATATCTTGTATCAGGTGTAACATGATTAAACTTGTCTAGGAAAAGATGCCAAGAGATACGAATACTGTTTCAGCAAAAGAAAATTATTAACTCTGGTAATTACAAGAGTTATAATAACTGAAACGATCATATAGTCATTGCCTTAAAATAAGTAGTATAGGTTTGTTGATTTTTAATGTTAGATTCTGCAATATTTTAGCCATGCACCAATATTTAGTCTCAGAAATTAACATGCTGCTCATAAAATATCCTGAAGTTATCATCATAAAATATAAGGAGGTTCCTTTAGACATTTATGATACAGCTTTAATCTGGCTGGCCAAATATTGCATTTTATCACTTTTAATATCTTTATTGAATGTTACAACTAAAATATCACAGCAAAAATTGAATGTATTATTTCTGAAAAAAACAACAACAATAGTTTGTGATATAGCTTTTCTGATCATTGGAAGTTTGTCTGAAGTTATTGTGGTAGTATGTTTTAACTGAATCATCAGCAGGCTGTTAGAGAGAAATTATTGCACAGCTCATTTATATTTCCAGCTTAGTTTGCATGGCACTATACACAGTAAGGTTAGTGAGTGAGTGAGTTGGGTTTTATGCCGCTTTTAGCAATATTCCAGCAATATCATGGAGGGGGACATCAGAAATGGGCTTCACAAATTGTACCCATGTGGGGAATCGAACCCAGGTCTTTGGCATTACGACTGAATGCTTTAACCACTAGACTACCCCACCGTCCCTATAGTAACCTTGATCTCTGCAACTAAAGCAATGCCTTGCAGAACACCAGATGTACATTTAATGGTAAATCGATGTGTCTTGTGTCTCGAATTTAAAAGTTTGACACACCAAGTTTGTTAATGCCTGTTCATTAAATATGGTACCTTAATTTGCTGAAGGGATACAATCTATCTTTTTGGTCAGCATGATACACAAAATATTTTGTTCCAACTAACAATAAAAATATATATATATATTGTTCCAAAACACTTGATCCAGTCGAGGGGTGCACATTGTGCATGGGTATGCAATTTTCTCCAGAAATTAGGTAAACCATGCAAGCTCCATGCACTGCAACATGATCAAACAATGTAGTGTTCCCAATGTATGAATCATAGAAACACTCCACACACTGCTCCTGTGGTAACTGATAATAACTGGTAGTCCCAGTGCTACTTATCAGTCAAGTTCTGCCTATTCATTGGACACCCAGATTGATCACAAATCAAATATAACTGCTAATCTTCAACATATACGAATTACATCTGGCAAACAAACACAAATGGGTAGCTGTGAAGCTTTCATTGGTTTACTCAGTTCTTATAGAGTCAAATGACCCAGTAATACATACTAAAACTATCCAGCACAGCCCAGATTAGCATAGTCTTTGGTTAAAACAAGCACTGGTTACCTTTGTCTGTGTCAAGAATGCAGCCAGTGAATTATATACTGGGCAAAAATAGTTAGGGATATATGTAAATTTTTCAATTATGAATAATGATCTATTTATTCATTGACACACTGATAAAATATCAATCATAAAAATACCAATATCCCTAACTTATTTTGTCCAGTATATGTTGAACCTTGAAGCCCCTGTTTAGACAGTTGATCAAAAGCTGGTATTTGCTTTACTAGATACATTTCTTTGTAAGTTGTTTTATTTAGGTTTTACCAAGTTAATGCCATAAATTTTCATTCAGTGTTAATGTCGTAATTATGGTCACAGTTTTTATGCTTTTAGTCCTTTGAAAAGGAATAACCTGATGAAAGTTTAGATTACAACCACTCTTTTAAAAAAGCAACAACTATTGTTTTCAAGAATTGTATATACTGAACAACATTAGAAACGCACCACGCTAAACCACACCGATGATGCTCAGATATCATGGATACATTTCAGTCTGATGGGGATATTTCGTATTATATGGATGGTGCGTTTCTAATGTTGTTCAGTATATATACACATAAAATTCTTACTAATTTTTAGGGTAGGTGGGGAAGCCTAGTGGTTAAAGCGTTAGGTCATCATATTGAGACCCTGGTTTGATTCCCCACAGGGGCTCAATGTGAGAAGCCCATTTCCGATGGTTTCCCGCGGCAATATTGCTATAATATTGCTAAAAGCGGCGTAAAACTAAACTCACTATCTAATTTAAAAAAAATTTGAAACATGGAGCATTGAAAGAAAATGTCAAGTCACTAACACTAATAAATCACATAAATTGTAATTGAGCAGCTCTTTATTGCTGAAGTAACAAAGTGATTCAAAATTTAGACATTTATACTGATTGGTCAACATTGTGCCCAGCTTGACACTTGCTATGTCAACTGTTAATCCCTGACAAGATATGATATATATGTTTTACTGCCATCCCATGATGATAACATGTTCAGATGATATGGTTAGGAAAGGTACAATTTAGGTATTGTTTGTAAAGGATTGTCAAGTGATTGAGTTTAGTTTGACACCACACTCAGCAATATTCCAGCTACATGTAAATAATCGAGTCTGGACCAGACAATCCAGTGATCAACAGCATGAGCCTCGAACTACACAATTGGGATACGATGACATGTGTCAACCAAGTCAGTGAGCCTAACCACCCGATCCCGATTAGTCGCCTCTTACAACAAGCAGGATTATCAAACAGTTCTTTCATAAACACTTGTATTATATGTCAGCAGAATGATGAGACCTCACAGAAATTTGAAGTTTTGAATTTGAATATATACTTGTGTAGAACTGAGAAAGTTTGTTCACTGTTCAAGCTGCACCCAGCAGACTTCAATCTTGACTGTATTTTTGCATTTTATGTTTTGTTCTGTATGGATTACAGTACACCCATCAGTGGATTGATAATCGGTTTTAATCGGTTTTACATCCAGGTTGATCTCATGACTTCAATCAGTTGCCTATTGTAAACCAAGATCATCCCTTGTGTACAACTAAGAATTTTTGTTGACTGTTCAAGTCTTGAAGTTTTATTTTGCTTTAAGCCAGACCAAATTTATATCTTGTTTTATGGATTTTTGTCCTCAGAAAAGGCAGGAGGGAATTTTTTTTTTTAAATCACCAGTCAAAGTAATATTCCGTCTAAATACTAGAAGCATTACATTAAAAACATTAGGATTTTATTTTTTTAGCGGGGAAAAATACTTTTGAATCAGTGCTGAACCTATTCTAAACCAAGTTCCTCTGTTGCAGCACCTGATGAAGGAGCTGGAGGAGGAGAGGGAACGACGATGGAAAGCAGAGCAGGCAGCCAAGAAACTGGCCGACCATATCCGTGCGGTACAAGCTAAAGGTAGGAAATGAACTGTGGGACCATATACTTGTTGTCTTACTGTACTGGAAAGCAGAGCAGGCAGCCAAGAAACTGGTCAACCATATCCGTGCGGTACAAGCTAAAAGGTAGGAAATGAACTGTGGGACCATATCCTGTACTGGAAAGCAGAGCAGGCGCCAAGTACAAGCGCGGTAAAGTAAAAGGTAGGAAATGAACTGTGGGACCATATACTTGTTGTCTTACTGTACTGGAAAGCAGAGCAGGCAGCCAAGAAACTGGCTGACCATATCCGTGCGGTACAAGCTAAAGGTAGGAAATGAACTGTGGGACCATATACTTGTTGTCTTACTGTACTGGAAAGCAGAGCAGGCAGCCAAGAAACTGGCCGACCATATCCGTCGCGCGGTACAAGCTAAAGGTAGGAAATGAACTGTGGGACCATATACTTGTTGTCTTACTGTACTGGAAAGCAGAGCAGGCAGCCAAGAAACTGGCCGACCATATCTTGTTGCTTACTGTACAAGCTAAAGGTAGGAAATGAACTGTGGGACCATATACTTGTTGTCTTACTGTACTGGAAAGCAGAGCAGGCAGCCAAGAAACTGGCCGACCATATCCGTGCGGTACAAGCTAAAGGTAGGAAATGAACTGTGGGACCATATACTTGTTGTCTTACTGTACTGGAAAGCAGAGCAGGCAGCCAAGAAACTGGCCGACCATATCCGTGCGGTACAAGCTAAAGGTAGGAAATGAACTGTGGGACCATATACTTGTTGTCTTACTGTACTGGAAAGCAGAGCAGGCAGCCAAGAAACTGGCCGACCATATCTGTGCAGTACAAGCTAAAGGTAGGAAATGAACTGTGGGACCATATACTTGTTGTCTTACTGTACTGGAAAGCAGAGCAGGCAGCCAAGAAACTGGCCGAACATATCCGTGCGGTACAAGCTAAAGGTAGGAAATGAACTGTGGGACCATATACTTGTTGTCTTACTGTACTGGAGAGCAGAACAGGCAGCCAAGAAACTGTCCGCCCATATGCGTACAGTACACACTAAAGGTAGGAACATGAACTGTGGGACCACGTCCTTGTCGTCCTTACAGTAGTGATAATCAGCAAGAAACTGGCTGACCAAATCCTTGTTGTCCTGGGTGCCTTTTGTACAAAACAATCTTCCCGCTAAGGTTATCATACCATAACACAGAATTATGACCGTCATACTGTTTATGTTATTTTGAACAAGAGCACCCTGACCATCTGCAGAAACACACAGAAAGAAACCAGCTCACCAAATCTGTTTAGTTCATACTTGCAGCAGGAACACAAAGAAAAATACCACATACTATATTTTTGCAGTTTTGACTACTTTTACAAGGCTGTAATTCTAACTTCTGCAGGTTTTGTGCACTCTTGGAATTTTGTTTATGTGTCAGTAAATGAGGCAAAACCATACTCAATAACTTATCTTGACCCTTATGGTTCCTTATCCAGAAAGAATCACAATCATAAAGGTGAATGTGTGGTCATGTATAAACAGTATCTGCTATCTTTCTCATTTGTTCTCATTTCTCGCCAATTACTTTCATAAAACATGGTGTGACTGGGATATACTTGATATTTCTTCAGTCTGAGTTTACCTTTGGCTTTCTGCTCTGGGTGCTGTTCCACTAACCGATCTTAGCCCTATGCTAATCGTAAACCCCTAAAATCCCAATCTTAGCATGATGTTACAATTAGCATACCATTCCACTAACCGATCTTACCCAAGTCAATCATAAAGTTCAGATCCAAAGTCTAAGTTGCTCATGACCAACTTAAGATCACTATAATCAATCGTAGAGAAGGAAGGAACAATGTACTTTACACATTGAAACACAATGTCACAAGACAGATTGTCCTGATTGTGTGGAGATTTCTTGTCAGGCAGGCACAATGTACTTTACACATTGAAGCACAATGTCACAAGACAGATTGTCCTGATTGTGTGGAGATTTCTTGTCAGGCAGGCACAATGTACTTTACACATTGAAGCACAATGTCACAAGACAGATTGTCCTGATTGTGTGGAGAGTTTCTTGTCAGGCAGGCACAATGTACTTTACACATTGGGGCACAATGTCACTAAGCACAATTGTCACTGATTCGTGGACGAAATAAGTCTGATTGTCAAATTGACGCAGGCACCATGACAGACTGGACTATTGTACAGAAGGAAGGAACAATGTACTTTACACATTGAAGCACAATGTCACAAGACAGATTGTCCTGATTGTGTGGAGAGTTTCTTGTCAGGCAGGCACAATGTACTTTACACATTGAAGCACAATGTCACAAGAAAGATTGTCCTGATTGTGTGGAGAGTTTCTTGTCAGGCAGGCACAATGTACTTTACACATTGAAGCACAATGTCACAAGACAGGCTTGCTTTCACCTTTATTTGTAGATGCTTTTGAATTGTTATATTTGTTGCATTTCCATCTCCTTATGCCATATGGGACGGTGTGGTAGCCTAGTGGTTAAAACGTTTGCTCGACACGCCGAAGACCCAAGTTCGATTCCCCACATGGGTACAATGTGTGAAGCCGATTTCTGGTGTCCCCCACCATGATATTGCTGGAATATTGCTTAAAGCGGCATAAAACTAACCTCAATCATTTTGTGTCAAATTAATGAGAACTGTTTAATACTGTAAATCCAAAAGAAACAAGACAAAATACAGATTTGACTTACAGACATTAGTGTGGCAATATTTCAGTAATCTGTTAAGAACCTTGAGTCCATAGTTCATGAAGAAAGAAGCCATTGCATCGAAGTATGCAGCTTGTTAAAGTAGTTCTGGAAAATCATTTGCATATTTATTTGATTTGTAATGATACAAAGTTTATCAGATTGGTTGATTGTGTATATTTTTGGTTGAACAAGCCTTTATATGATGAACAGACTTCAGACTTTTCCAACAATCATATTTGTGTGGGCTGAATGACAAATGCCATGCTTTGAGATCTATTGATTTTGGACTAATATCTTCTTGTAGCATGGAATTAAAAAAAATAATTTTTGAGCTCAGCTGTTAATGTTGTGCATGAAAGGCAAAATCAATTTTTGAATGGAAGGACGGTATCTTTTTTTCATGTGGCTTGTGAGGAAGTCAGGAGAACATGTGACTCGAATCTAGAATCATCATCATCATCATCATCATCATCATCATCATCATCATCATCATCATCTGCATCATCATCACACTGGACATTTTACTTCATTAATCTGTGCATTTGGCCATGTGGCTTGAACTATGACAACACTTGAACTGAGAAACCTGTAAAGATCCAGGTTAGAATTGATCTTCAGTAACCCATGCTTGTCGTAAGAGGCAACTAGCAGGATAAGGTGGTCAGACTCGCTGACTTTGTTGACACATGTCATCATATCCCAATTGTGTAGATCGATGCTCAGGTTGTTGATCACTGGATTGTCTGGTCCAGACTTGTTTACATACCTCCGTCATATCGCTGGAAAATTGCTGAGTGCGGTAATAAAGAACAAATAAACAAATCTTTGGACATTTAACCGGTGAGTATTTGCTTATATCTCTGTCCACACAGTTCTGGAAAATGACACAAGGGATGGGTTTCACTTATTTTAGAATAAAGGAAGATGGACAAAAGATGCAAGAAAACTCTGTATTTACAGACCACCACCATATAGCTGGAAGATTGCTGAGTATGGCATTAAACAACAAACAAACAAAACAAACTTAGAACTGAGGCATTACTAGCAAACAAGGATAAGTTGAGCACTGACCTGACAATTGACCCATATTAGCGTGTGTGAGTGCCGCCCATTGTGAGCGAAGGGGCCCCAGGTTAACGAGTGTAGTGCTACACCGACCACGTGAGAGTCTTATGAACAAGCGTGTGGGCTACACACGGAATCAATTTCATCGTCATGCACTGCACGTGCACTAGCCTACATCTGCTCTACCTTTCACAAACCAAATGGGTTTGCTCTTTGCCGTGCACCACCTACTTCTTGTAAACACGTTCTCTCCTCTGGTCCAACTTATCCTTGTTTGCCAGTAGTTCTGGTGAAGATGTGTTATGGAATTGTGGACATATTCTGAAATAGCAATGTACACATGGAGATGATGTTATTAAAAATGACAAGACCCTTTCCACATCCATAAGAAATCTGTGTTACAAGCAGAGTTGATTGTACAAAAATATGAGCAGATATGACATAAACTAATTATCTGATATTTTGGTTTGTACTATATAAAGAGGATATTTTCAGTGTAGCATAGTTAGCGTGACATGTTTAAAAGGCATTTGCACAGAAAACACCTGGAAATAGTAACAGTATCTTTTTAAATGTGAGTGCATGTGGCAAGATAACAAATTTCAAATCATACAACTGAAAAACACTATACCGGTAGTCTTTTGTTAAGCGATGTGGAAAAAGGAATAATAATATTTTTCTTTCAAATTCGTAAGTGACTTTAGATTAACAGACTTGCAAGCAAACTCATTGCTTTTATGTAGAAATGAAGTTTGCATGTGGCAAGATAACAAATTTCAAATCATACAACTGAAAAACACTATAGTCTTTTGTTAAGCGATGTGGAAAAAGTAATAATAATATTTTTCTTTCAAATTCGTAAGTGACTTTAGATTAACAGACTTGCAAGCAAACTCATTGCTTTTATGTAGAAATGAAGTTTTATAATTACAAATCAGATCATCATGACCGCATTGAGAATTTGTAAAAATGACACTTGAGAATTGATGCTATCTACCAATAGATAGTCCTTACCACATATTTTGTCCAAATATGAAACCATGAAGTTCCACTTTAGATGGAGGATGTGGAGGACCATAGTGGTCTAAGTGGTATTGCCAACTATGTTACAGTGGGAGACGTCCATTATAGTGCATCATTCACATTGAAGCCAATATCTTTCAACAAGCAGCTTAACACTCCCTCGACACTCAAACCCATGTTTTTATCAAACAATAATTTG